GAATTAAACGATTTGACTCTGTCTGTTGAGTCCAATTGAAAAAATTGCCAAGTTTTAATTTTCTTTTATGTATCTACTATAATATATGTATATATGACATATTATTATTATTTTTTTTTTTTTGAAATTTTAGTATTTAATTTTTCAGTGGTGAGATACGCATGAATTCAATTAAGGCAAAACGACACAAAGATACTCCCATAAACGAACTCGCATTTGCTGAGTAGCACTGAAATGCTATACCCGTTTGCCATATATATGAATATCTGTAGAATTATTGTATATAGAAATGTATAACTTTATTCTTTTGTAATACAGAAGTAAAAAAATTGACAAGCTTCAAGTGAATTATTTAACCTGCCACCATAAATTTGAAATTCCCCATAAAGGTGCATTGGACTTTGATTCAGTCCATGAGCAAAATCGCAAAAAAAAGAGACTACTCGTATGAGAACTCGGCTTGAGCTCCAGTAACTGCTTGGCTTTCAGTTTTTTTTTGTGAATTTCGTTATCGAATTAAAAATTTCAATTGGGGCTCAATGCACGCTTTCTGTGAATTTTATTAATTTTAATTGTGAAATTTATTTTTGGCACATTTCTTGCACGTGAACATCAAAGCAAAATCTTTAATGGAAGACTAGACGCAGTCTTTGCTGAATGCCGGGATTGTAGGTCTTTCGAACGTAACTATTTTTTTGCTATTGATGATTTTTATTTATTTTTTTAATTAACCACATTATTCATCGAAATTTTTTGGAATTTTAAAAATGTTCAGCTATAATTATGCTAATCAGTTAACTAAATAATTGCTTAAGCCAAATGAATTGACGTCTGTATTAATACCCGTAATTTGTTTATCTTATATTTTCAGCTGATATGAATCTTCAAGAGTTCGTGTATCTAAAAATTCTGCACATGCACAAGTGAACGAATTTCTTTTCCTCTGACGCAATACTGATTATTTACGCAACAAGTGATTCACTGCCAACTCCACACGCCATAAAATGTATAAGTTACTCGGCAGTTTAAAGACCTACCTTAAGGTGCAGGACATACAAACGGATAATGCCGTCTTCCGTTTGCACAACTCATTTACGACTGTTTTATTGCTGACCTGCAGTCTCATTATCACCGCCACGCAATATGTGGGTCAACCGATCAGCTGCATCGTCAATGGCATACCCACTCATGTGGTCAACACGTTCTGCTGGATACACAGTACCTTCACCATGCCAGATGCCTTCAATCGACAGGTAAGTCACAAAGAATTTTATTCTTAAATTTTATTTTTATTTAATTTTTATTTTATTCTTAAATTATTTATTTAATAAATGTTAAGCTGTATTAAATTAATATAAAATAATATATGCTATATATTAAATATATACCAAATAAATTTTTATTATTTAAATTAACACTTAAACACTTATTAAATAAATGTTTAAACATATTAAACTAATATATAATAACAATATATGTATATATTTAATATGTACAAAATAATTCTTTAATTGAAATAAAAATATATTAAATAAATTATATTAAATTAATATAAACAATATATGGTATATATTTAATTTATACAAAATAATATCTTAATTTTAATAAACATTTATTAAATAAATGTTAGGTTGTATTAAATTAATATAAAATAATATATATGCTATATATTATTAATAAATACAAAATAATTTTTTAATATTTTAATTATTAATAAAATTGTTTAAATAAAATGTTTAAACATATTAAATTAATATATAATACACCTAATATATAAAAAACATATATGTATATATTTATATGTACAAATAAATTCTTTAATGTCAAATAAAAAATTTATTAAATGAAAATTAATATTAACATTAATATAAGCAGAGATATGGTATATACATTGTGAACCCGAAAAGTTTTCCGCGGAAAATTTTAAAATAAAACGCAAAATTCTTTATCTTCATCAATATTTATTTTATCTCCTTCAAAATATGCTCCATTAGAAGCGATACACAAATGCCAACGTTTCTTCCAATCATCAAAACATTTTTTATAGGCGCTTTCCGGTATGGCTTTGAGTTTCCTCTGCGAATTCTGTTTTACGTCTTCTATGGATTCAAAACGCGTTCCTCTGAGTGGTAATTTGAGTTTGGGAAACAGGAAAAAGTCACACGGTGCAAGATCAGGTGAATACGGGGGCTGTTCGATGGTATTTATTGAATGTTTGGCCTTAAAATCGTTGATAATGTTGGCTCGGTGCGAGGGAGCATTATCGTCATGAAAAATCCATGAATTATCCTTCCACAATTGAGGCCGTTTACGGCGGATATTTTCACGCAAACGTCTTAAAACAGTCAAATAATAGGCTTTATTGACTGTTTGTCCTTCAGGGACGAATTCATGATGCACCACACCACGAATATCGAAGAAAACAATCAGCATTGCCTTGATTTTCGAGCGACTTTGGCGTGGTTTTTTCGGTTTCGGCTCGTCTTTTCCTCTCCATTCCGATGATTGTTGGCTTGTTTGCATGTCGTACTCGTAGACCCATGTCTCGTCACCCGTTATGATGCGTTCCATGAAAGTTGGATCGGAATTGGCACGATCAAGCATGTCTAACGAGACCTGTCCACGATGGTGTTTTTGGAACAAATTGAGGTGAATCGGAAAAAGCCGAGCGTTGACACGTCGCATACACAAATTGTCCACCAAAATCAAACGAGCCATCTCACGACCGATGCCTAGCTCTCGTGCTATCTCTCTAACACTCACATGAGGATTTTTGAACACGATTTCCTTTGCCTTTTCAATGTTTTCGTCGGTGGTAGAGGTCGAAGGTCGTCCAGAACGCGGCATGTCTTCGACGGTCGTACGACAGTCCTGAAAGGCTTTGTACCACTCATAAACTTGAGTTTTCGATAAAACTGATTCCCCATAAGCCTTTTGTAGCATTCGCAACGATTCTGCACACGAAAATTCGTTCGAAACACAAAATTTGATGCAAACTCTTTGATCAATATTTTTTTCCATTGTTTTTTTCGCAACGCACTACTGAGGTGAACTGGTTTCAACAGCTGCCGTAAACGAACTGTCCTGACAGATCGCGGCTCATTTTTGGCATAGTAATTAAGGACAGTGCTGCCAAACTACATAAACTTAAAATATCGAAAAATATACAGCGCGCGAATTTTAAATGAGAATTTCCGAAAACTTTTCGGTCACAATGTATGGTATATATTTAATTTATGCAAAATAATATCTTAATTTTAATAAACATTTATTAAATAAATGTTAGGTTGTTTTAAATTAATATAAAATAATATATACTGTATATTTAATATATAGCAAATAATTTTTTATTTTTTTTAATACTTATTAAATAAATGTTTAAACATTTTATTATAATATAATATACAATATTATATGTTGTATAGTATATATATAATATATACAAAATAAATGCTTAATTAATTTCTAAATTATTAATTAAATATATGTTAAATTATATTAAATTAATATAATACCATACATGGTATATATTTAATATATACAAAATAATTTTTAATTTATTTTTGAGTTATTTATTAAATGAATACTTAATATTTGTGTAATAAATGTTAAATTATATTAAATTAATATAAATTAACATTTTTTTTTATATATTTTAAATTTTATATTTACAAAATAATGTTTTAATATTTAAATTTAAATAAACATTTATTAAATAAATATTTATATATATTAAATTATTATAATATATTATAACAATATATATGGTATATATTCATTATATACAAAGCAATTGTTTAATTCATTCTAAATTATTAATTAAATATAAGTTAAATTATATTAAATTAATATAAAAAAAATATGGTATATATTTAACATATATTGTTTTATTATATTTTTTAATTAATTTGTAATGTTTAACAATTTATTTTTTTTTTTTTATTTTTTTATATTTATAAATGATTTTATACTGTTAAGCTCAAATCTGCAAATCGTTTTTCTCCTAGTTACCTGGGTTTTTGACAATAATGGGTTATGGTTGAGGTTTTAAATGGTTAAATTTTTTTTTTATATTAGAATAGGTGCATTTCTTTAAAAACTCTAGAAGTTTCAGAAACTGACAGGAAAATGAAAAAATTAAGTTTTTTTTCTATGACCTTTTTTCACCTTCACCGGTCACCTATATGTATGCGAATCAAGGTTTCTGTCCTGTCTTTAACCGATTTTCATAACAACTTATCAATATCCCCCTTTTCACCTTCACCGGTCACCTATATGTATGCGAATCTACGCCCTCTTTACTTTTTTCCAATTTAATTTATAAATACATTAGATTTGGTTACCACTTGCTACAAATATATAATTTCATTTCACTTTCTTTGATATATATAGAACTTTATCCAGAAATCTTCTACTAATTTTGAAGAAAAGAATTAGAGTGTTAGAGATAGGAGTTTGATAATAGAAGCAAAACGAGATTATATCATTGTAATTTTCCAAAAATCTTCCAGTAATACTAACAAAAAATAAAGAGTAATAGTGCTGGAAATTTGATAAAATAAGCTAATCCAGATTATTTTATAGATGATTCTACAGAAATCCTCCAGTAATTCCAAGAAAAGAATTAGAGTATTAGAGCATGTTGGAACTTTGATAATAGAAGCTAATCAGAATTGTTTTACAGATGATTTTTCAGAAAACTTGCAGTAATTCTAAGGAATGATTTAGTGGGACTAAGAAAACTCATTGACTATTAGAGAGTGTTGAAGTTATTAATAGATAATTCTCCAGAGACCTTTTCAATTATTTAAAGAATGATGCAGAAAGAATGGTGCACTCGTACTTACGGGATTTTCAACTAGTTAATTGTAATATTATTATGTAGTACTAGACGCTACTAGCTGTAATAAATAATTACTATTATTATCATGTATTTTGCCATTGTGGGTATTATTCTACTATGTGGGTATTTAAATTCTTCTACTATGTTTTATTTAATTTTGTAGAATATGTATATTACACTACATTATGATATCTATTTATTTTAATTTATAAATAGCATGTCATATTTATCTTTATTTATCGCAAATGAACCCATTGAATACATTTAATTAAATATATTCAGCATAATGTTCACTACTTAAAAATGCATTACGAATATATTTTATCTACTGTTCTCACATAAATTAGTCATATACTGGCTTTAAATTTTAATTTTAGAATTTCTCAAAATAAAAATAAAATATCTGAGAATTCAATATCAGCATAGCATTTAAAAACATAATGGATGATGATAATGACTATTTGTCATTGTGATGGAGTGCAGCATATGACGGATAGCACAGCTGCTTTTTTAAATTCCCAACATATTTTAGATATCATCCCTACATAGTAGGCAGCATCTGTTGTTATTCTCGTAAACTAAAGTAAGCCTTAGAGAGTCTGCAAGCGATCCTTGCACCCGCATCTGACCATCGCTGATTAAGCAAAAACAAAGGCTCAACACATCATTTTCCAAGCCACGTAATTCAATTACACAAATTGAAAGAATCTCAATGGTTTTAACTTTCAGTCATAATGACAATCGATTTAAACTCAACTCTTTTAAACTCAAAGATCTGTGCTACTGCAAATGAATTGAATTTTGGAACTTCGTTGAGTTTCTATAGGAAATAAACAAAAAATCATATGAATTATTAAAATCACGTTATGGAGCATGGAAGTATGAAATGAGAGAACGTCGAGAAATGTATGAATCTCTTGAATTTTAATTTATGCGCAGACAGCGATTTCACCGCCCAAGCTTAACCATTTTCCCTTTGCAATATACAATATTTCATCCATTCACGCATCCCTACATACCATCAGGCGTTTACCATTCCAATATGCGTTGTGTGTACCGGCGGTTTTCTTGGAGTTCCTCAGCTCGCAAAACTACTGTACGCGTTTGCGTACCTTCTGTATGTTTAAGATTTAGTTTCGCCGTCCCAAGTTTATATAAAATAAAAAGGAATTCCATTTAAATTGAAGATGAAAAATAAAATAAAAAAAGATTTTATAAAATTTCTGGAAACCGTAATTGGATATGCTTGAATTGTAGCTTTTAATTGTAGGCTGGATATCTTAAATTTAAAATTGTTGTTCAAGCTTTACTTGCCGATGATTCTTCAAAAAAAGGGTCATGAGTTTAGTGAGAAACAGAAAAAAGTTTGGCAAAGCCAAAGGAATAATACCCTTCACCCAAATATATTACTATATGTATACGTTTAATCCAGTCCTAGTATGTTGACATACATATTTACAAATACGAACTCTTTTCCGGAAACTATTTTTTTCTATATAAAAAATATATAAATTACTTCTATTTGTCGACTTTTTCTATATATAATAGACTAACAAAAAAGTTCCGGTTGCAACTATTCCATTACTTATTCTTACTTTTCTATCATATAAACTAAAAATTGATGGACTAATTATCAACAAAAATGGAGATAAACGGATATCGCTCAACATACCGACTAAAATCAGTCTTGTAAACTTTTTGAGCAGAAGGAAATACAGATGTGTTTTTAAAACAATAAACCAAAAGTAGTGCCATAAGTAACCAGTTCCTATATTTTTTATAAGCTGTGAAAATAGTCCTTTATCTTATTAACTCATTGCTGTACAGCATATAGCATATATTATACATGTTGTTTTTGATTATTGATTATATATAAATACCTATGTGCGCGGATTATATTATCTTATTTGTAATATCATTATTACGATTAAATTGGAGAATTTTGCACTGCGACCTAGAGATCTATTGTGCACCTTATATAAGCTCAGGAAATTCCTCCAACTCTTACATCCTAAATAAATTGTGGTGTTAAACCTACATTACAGAGTCCTATTTCTTCAGCCTCTAGAAGATGTTTACCTAGGTATTTTTATTGCATATGCAACAGTGACGGTCAAAACGTCAGCACGTGTTTTCAGGTCCTTTTATTTTCTTAATATTATATCATCAGAATTTTAATAATCATAGTTTACAATATCGGCATTAAAAAAGGCTCCGCTTATGCATCCACAGCCTGTAATCATTGTAAAATTGGATCCCTATTATTTTCTATATCCGATAGCTAAGACGTTATAATTCTATAGCCGTTATAGTCATCATAACACTTTTTCAATAATTACTGGATTCAGCCAATATGTTTCTTCTATTATTTTGTAAATATTAAAAGTAGTATTACTCAACTGACCTTAACTCAATAACTAATTGTTATTCCTAAAAATCATATGTATTGCCTGTTAACTACTTCTGGCACTTACGATGTGTTACTAATCATATGAATATTAAGATCTAAGATCTAACTGCTTATTTACAGTTAGGTTGTGCTGGCAGACCAAAAGGGCCACGCGTAGATCATTAAGGTCCATTGCGATACCAGATCAGAGTCTTATTTTTAGCGATTGTGTGTGCTCCAGTCCGGTAAAACTGACAGCCCCCAAGTATTTTTGTAGAGTTCTCGAGAAAGCCGGGCAGTTAAACAGCAGATGCTCCAGAGTTTCCTAAAGAGTAAAACTTACACTTAAGACGTTCAACAAATAATATTAAAATTTTTATTTATATGTATATAATATATATAATATATTGTACTATAATTTTCCGTCAATTTATAAAATATCTTTATTTATGATTATCTTAAATTCAAATTATTTTAATTTATTCGTTCGTAGGTTGGCCGTGACGTAGCACATCCAGGTGTAGCCAATGATTTCGACGAGGAAGATGCTAAAAAGTATTACACCTATTATCAATGGGTCTGTTTCGTGCTCTTCTTTCAGGTAAGTTTGTATTAATTTTTTCTTTCTGAACATTTGGCAACAGTTTAATTATGGCTTGTCAACAGTAAAAGATTACTTTGTGAAACTCCAAACAGAAGAGCTTACGAGTAGCAATGGAAAAACATTTCAGTTGAGGTTGGCAGTAAAATAGAAGCCATTGTTTCTTGTAGTTTACAGTGGAACCAGTCCCAAAAAATTAACTTAAAGTAGAAATGTTGTTCAAGCATTTTTATGACAATTGATATTTAAACAGAAACGTTGCATTGTTTAAAAAAATATTTTATAAAACAAAAATATTTAAATAAAATATTCGATATTCGAAGTCGAAATCAACGTGGTCAGCTGAAATTAAGGAAAGTTGAAAACTCCCTAATTGTCTCGACGTAGCAAATTCTTGACCTCTTAAAAGAATGCTGACTTCTTTCTTTTCTTTTAGCGCACACTTCTATCGATCTATCAAGTGCTACACGTTTTTATTATTGAGGTTTCGCTCCACAATCCAAGCTAAATGAAGATGAATGATTTTTAAATTACATTTCGAATTTTGTGAACTACAATTTTTTACCTCAACGGCGTTATAATTTCTGAAAAGAAAAAAATATAATTTAAAAAATAAAAAAAAATTTCATTAGCTTTCGAATGTCTATCAATTTAATTTATGGAATATTCAGTTGGGTAGATAGATGGAAGAGTGACAGAAGTGTGTGCGGGATAATATTTTGAACCAGTTACGAGTGGTCTTCGTAGACAATTTCTTCAATTGTTACTAGTTTTACTTTAAATGATATACTCATATGGATAGTCGGATAACAGAAGGCACCGAACTTATGTGCCTTTAAGATACTAAATACTAACGAGACGTCGAGAAAGAAATTTTATTTCAATTAAAGTCAATTGAATGCGTACAGAGGCTTCGCATGTATCTGAAGCTTATGCGATGCATGATGTATGATATAATAACCTCGGCTAGTTAAAGATACAATAATCATCAACAATATCATGTCATTCAGAGCTTAGGTTGAATTTATGAATACTAAAATTGTCTAATTTAAACTTAAGCATAATTTTTATTTTTGTATTATATATATCTTTTATATATATAATATAAATATATATAAATACATTTGTAAACATTTACATCTTTACTCTAAAATTTTTAAATAATTCATTTACTTAAAAAATTTCTTTTTAAATCATTATTCGAAATAACTTAGGTTAGGTTAGGTTATACCTGCGATCCCTAGTGGATCCATGGCCCATTGTGTTACCCATTGTGTACAATGGGAAAAACTCAGGATTTAAAACCACCTAAAACCTTTGGCGAAGCCTAAAATGCTATTTAGTACCACGTCTTATAATTAAATACGATCCTCTAGAAAGAGGGGCTCTAAAAGTGTTAATTCGCCGCCGTACCGTCTGCTCAAAAAGTACACGGATTTTGTAAATAAAACACACAAATTTAAATTTTATTCCAAATTTATTTTATCTCCTTCAAAATATGCTCCTTCTAAACCGATACACATATGCCAACGCTTAACTCAATCTTCCATACACTTTTCGTAATCCCGTGAAGGTATGGCTTTTAGTTCCTTCAGCGAATTCTATTTTACCGATTCAATCAACTCAAAACGCTTGCCACGAAGGGGCAATTTAACAGGAAAAAGTCACATGGATCCAGATC